CCATTCCCTATCTGTATGGCCACACCAAATAATTATGGCTTTTCTGCTCTTTGGCCTGTTTTATGGTTTTCTTTGCTTGGTAATATCAGCTGTTTGGATGCAGACAATTTATAAATGCTTTTATGTTTACTTAACCTTCAAAAACTTGCTGTGGGTTTGACATGTTGATAAGTACCCTATGAGCACAGTGACAACACCCAGGTGCTAGTTTCCCCAGGATCCATCTTTTCTAACATAACTTTCTCTGAGACATTTTGTTTATGCCCAGCTATTATGATGGTTCCCAAACTAAATTTCCCATCTAGACTGATCTCCTGAGCTCTCTGTATATCCAACTACTCCTTACTTTCACAGACACCTCAAATTTAACATATCTAAAAAAAAAATTTCAACTCCCAGGTCCCCACCACCAAATCATTTCCCATACTGGAGATGAGAGAAACCTGATGTATCCAGTCACCTATACTGATAGACAGCATATTTAGATGGGTATCTATTTAGATTGGGATCCTGTGAAATACAGTTGACCCCTGAACAATGTGGGGGTTAGGGGCACTGACACCCCCGACATACTGTCAGATCCACATATAACTTCGACTCCCTAAAGACTTAACTATTAATAGCTTACTGCTGACCAGAAGCCTTACCAATAACAAATCTGATTAGTACATATTTTCTGTGTTTTATGTATTATAGTGCATTCTTACAATAACGTAAGCTATAGAAAAGGCCTTTTTTTTCAAATTACATCAATCTCCAAATAAATTTTCCAATATGTTATTGAAGAAACTCCACATGTAAATGGACCCGTGCAATTCAAACTCACATTGTTTAGGGGTCAGCTATACCCTGTTTAAATACCTGGAATTCATTTTGCTGCTGAAGTTGGGTTCCACTGATTTTTATTTTGGATAACATTTTACCCAATTTTGCAACAACTTTTAACTGCCTAATGTTATGAAAAGGGCCTGCAGTTCTTCTAAACTAGATATAGAAAGAACAGCTTTTACCTCTCATTCCATATGTATTTAGCTCCTTTACTCTTTAATATTCTGAAATAATTCAAAGGAGAAAAATTTAAATTCTCCAAACTGATTCCAATCCTGAAATAAGATTTGTCATTCCATAATTTGTTGGGTCAAAATATCAGAAGCAGCTTATAGTTTTTGTTATTGTATTCCTACTGAAAATTGCCCTCTTAGGAAGTTTACTTCAACCTATCCTCCATAAGTACTCCTGTAATGATTGTATATTGTACTAATATATATTATTTTGGTACGTAACAGCATGCAGTTTTGTTCCTTCCATGCTGTTTCATCTTCTCTCTTCTTCACCTCGATTTTAAGCTGTTCCTTTCTATAGAGCTTAATGACTAGACATACTTAGTGAATAAACCACATATAGAAAACATCTGCTTCCTTTGCATCCTATACTAATTTGAAAGAAAAACCATATAGAGGCATACCTCATTCTATCACACTTTGCTTTACTGTCATTCACAGATAATAGCGTTTTTTTACAAATTGAAAGTTTGTGGCGACCCTGCATCGGGCAAATCTGTTGGTACCATTTCTTCTCCAACATTTTGCTCACTTCATGTCTCTTTGTCACACTTTGGTAATACTCTTGTACAAGAGTTCAAACCTTTGCATTATTACATTTCTTAAAATGCTATGTGATCAGTGATTATGACTTACTGAAAGCTCAGATGATGGTTAGAAATTTTTAGCAATAAAGTATTTTTTAATTTAAGTATGGACTTTTTTTAGGCATACTTCTCATACTTAACAGACTACACTAATGTATAAACATAACTTTTGTATGACTGGAAAACCAAAAACTTCATTTGACTTGCTTTATTGTAGTGGTCTCAAACTAAAACCACATTAATCTCCAAAGTATGTCTGAAATACAAACACCTTTCCCCAAAATGTAAGGCCAGTTTTTCCTTATATGTAACCTGATCTACAACAGTTAGTACAATGCATAGACCATTAGCTTATGAATTAGGAAACTGGGCTCCTCATCTAGAAACCAGCACTACCTATCAGCTTTCAATAATGAGTTTGTCTTCCTGGTCTTGTTTCCTGATCTATTGAAGTATGAGGTAAGAGTAAAAGCTCTCTGAAGTTCTCAAAATTCTAGGAACCGGAAAGATAAAAGTTCCACATCCTAAGCAAATGTGTAAGCAGGGAGTTGGAATAGACTACATTAACTACCACTGTACTGTGTTCACATACCGGAAATAAGGCTTGTCAGGAGACATCGTGATCTGCAGGACCTCACTCGTCATATCCAATTCAGAAAATGCTTCACGGAGCCCCTCTGACTGCAGAATAATTTTATTAATAACATTGGTGCTGCAGAAATCAAAATCTAGGGTCTCCTCAGGCTCCTGAGTATTGATTTTACAAACTGTTACCACTCCTTCTTCTTCCAGAAATAGCATCAAAGGGTAACCATAACCTTGGTAACACATCCGAAGTGCAGTTAAAGTTCCTGCAAAGGAAATAAATCATACTTCAGGCTTAGCTTTACAGCTCTGGATTCAGCTTCTCCTCAAATGCTACAGAAAGCAACTCAATATTTTATTCTGCCCAATTTCTAGCATTTATGTATCTCCTCATAAGGAGGGATCACATCTTCCCTGATGACAGGGGAGTGCAATTTAATAATTGCAAGAAAATTGGGAATCAAAAGAAAACAAAATATAACATGACTCTTTGAAATCACTTTCCAGCTTGCCAAACACACCTCAGAAATCGCTTATTGATTTTATATATACACAATTTCAGTATGGAAAACCTACATGGACCAATACTGCAAGTAACAGAATTGTTGTGAATAAGTATGTTATGTTGTTGCAGGTTGAATTTGAATAGTGGATTGCTTTGATAATGTCAGTGTATTCTCTGTAAAGACCTTCCCAGTCTTCTCCATTGGGAGATATTCTTTGTATTTCCTCAACTTTTTATAACAAATTGCTAAGAAAAAGAAAGGGTGGTTAATGGTGGAAACTATTATTGTTATTATATTATTATTATTATAATGATAATAAAATGGTTCACCTGGCATTGGATTTGATCCAAAAATAGATAAACAGTCTAAAAGGACAGTTAAATTAATTCGAAAATTAACAGACTCTTCCTGAACTGTAAACTCTTGAAATATTCCGGCCTAGAAAAAAAAGTAAACATGAAAATGGATAAAAAACAATGAAAATTTACATATAGGGTTCTAGATTTTACTTTTTATACTTTAACATGTGCTAACTCCATGATAATTTCTGATTATGCTTCAAAACATCTTAAGTTTTTTCAACTACTATCCACTAGAATACTGCTACTCAATAGTTAAAGGTGTAACAGTAATTTAGGTCCCCATGCAAAACTTTTATGAAGAGTCCTTTATCTAGCTTTTTGAATTGAAACTATCCCCTATGTGACTCTCCTTTGTCTCTTTTTTTGTGCCCATCAGTATGGCAAAGGTCACTTGGAAAACAGCCAAACAATTTGATAATGCACAAGTGATAAAAGCTGTCAATTTGTTTTAGGATAGGAGCCTTGTCTTATTTATCCCTCTCTATACCTGAGGGCCTACTGTGCACTTGGGTGTTCAAAAAAATGCTGAATTAGATCTGAAATCCTATCTGAACCACCCAAATATTACTTTGTAAGAACAAACATATTATAGCTGATAAAAGAAAAAAATATTATTTAGTAACAGGGAAGTAATGATAAAAGAGCATATATTCTGAAAACAAATGTTCTGGGTACTCATCCCAACTCAGGTCACTTGCCAGTTGTGGGATTACTGGCAAATCCTTTAAATGGTGCCTCAGTTTCTACATATGTAAAATAGGAATAATAACAGAACCTACTTCATAGAACTATATTGTGAGGATTAAATGCATTAAACATATAAAACACTCAGAAGAGTGCCTGGCCTATAGTGTAGCTTAATACATTTCAGATATATTATTATTAACCATTATGTAAAACAAGTAGGGACAAGAATTTGTTACCAGGAGAGAAGAGAACTCAAATAATGGCATTTTGTTTTCTTCAATGATGTCTATTGAGAACTTTGTAATTCATACTGGAGGAAGTACATCATATGTCCCAGACTTAATGGTGTCTACTTACATACCTGAATAAAAGCATTTGCTTGCACACACTTTGCATTTTCTACCGTAACCTTGATTCCATTTTTAGTAGCGAAACATGTAGCATGTTCTCGGAAGTGAATAGCCTTCAATATAGTGGAGAGATTCCTAACGTTGTCAAGGCTGGCCACTAAGCTGTAATCATTGTCATCTTGGATCCGTTGTGTTAGGAGAGGCATCTTCCACAGCACATTCGGCCCCAAGCGATGCGCCTGGTGCCAACACTTGCTCACGTGACACCTGATGAGGTTCGACAATAAAACTCCGCACCAATGCTGGCGCGGCCCACGATCTCAACCTACGAGGAGAGCGGGAAAGGCCTGAGCGTTGAACTCAGTCAAACACGGATTGAATTCCACCTCTGTCACTTAACTCTTCGGAACTTCGGGGAAAATTACTTTGAAGCTGCGGTTTTCTTGTTTTTAGCAAAGGGGCAATAAGAAATGGAAAGTTGAACAACGAAAAGGCAACTAACACGGTAGGTCCTCTTGGGGCCAGTTTCGCTCAGCCAAACCAAGGCTACGTATCCCCGCAGTTTTGAGCCGTCCTTGTCTCTACAGAACAGGCGGTCCCCAGAGCTTTCCAGAGTACAGACAACCCCGTTCCCCAGGGGCGGCATCTGTTTCCTGGGGCGCGGGAACCCTACCTTTGCGATGGGGTCCGCACGCCGGAGAGCCTTTCCCAGCTTCGTCACTGGGGAAAGCGGCGATGTCTCCCGGGAAGCTGGGGAGGAAGGGCAGCGGCTCCCGCCACTCTTTTCAGACCCGTCAGCCACCTCGGCCACCGTTACCACAGAGAGAGACGAGGCCTAGAGAGCTCAGTGGGCGATGGGCTGTACAAGAGACCGGAAAGAAGGCATCATGGAGCTGGAGGAGGACCACCGAGCCGAGCTACGGTACCATAGAGACCGGAAGGGGGTGTGGAACGGCAAAGCCGGAAGGAAAACCTAGAACTGAGGCGGTGAGGCAAGATGGCAGCGACCAAGAGGAAACGGCGTGGAGGCCTAGCGGTTCAGGCGAAGAAACCAAAAAGAGACAAAAAGGATGCCAGGACGGCAGCTAAGCAGAGCGACATGGCAGAGGAGGTGGAGCAAGAAGAGAGAAACCGTATCCCAGGCCCCGTTTGCAAGGTAGAGACGGCTACCCTCGCATGGCTGCGGCCGCCGCCCCGCGCGCCTGATTACAGCTTTAATGATTTCGGAGTTGCTTGGGTGGAGAGGGAAGGGAGCTCGGTGTCAGCTGGCCTCTGGGTCGGTCTGGCCACCACGTTCCCATCTAATCCTCCAGCACGTGCCCGCTCTGGTGGAGAGCGGGCCGGCTGAGCGACTGGGCCGGCTTCAGACTGCTTCTCCGGCTCACAATCGTCTTGCAGGGTACCCAGTCAGCGTCCGCCTTCTAGTTACTCATTTTTTTTGGAGAGTAGTACTTTCCTTTAAGTTATTTCACACTACTGAGTATGTTTCTCCGAATGATTGTGCCATGGTCCGCTAATGTCACTCAGATTCTGAAACTTGTTAGCCGTTTCTTTGAAAAGTTGTTGTCCTTGGGACAGTGACTTCGACTTGATTAGGTGTTTAACTCTCAAAGGATGATGAAAGCTAGACTAGATAGAGTGAGCTTTTCTTGTAGTCAACAAACTTTTAACGTGCCAGACACTGTACAAAGTTAGACTTTGGGATTGCAAAACTACACTGTGTTCTCTTCCTCCTTAAATGTTGGAGTTTAGAAGGAAACTAAGAATTCATGTAAGTCGATGGTGGTATTCAAAAGAAGGTGAACACAAGTTGTTGGACCTAACTTTCATTGAACTGAGAGCTCCTTAAGCTAGATTAAATACTGCGGAGACAAGTATGGCCTTTTATTTATTAATTACTGTGTCCCCGGTGCGGACCTCCCCTCTCCCCAACGTATGCTTAGCTTAGTATTTATTCACCACGTAGTAGGTGATAAATAGGCAACCTTTTGTGGTGTAGTGGCAAGCACTAGGAAGGGAGTTAGCTCTGAGGGATGAAAGGTGAGTTTAATTTCTAGCCCTTCTGTTAATTAACAGCGGCATTTTGAGCTCTTTTCCCATCTGCAGATTAAGAGAAGAAATTATTTACTTTTTGTGAAGAATAAGCTGACCTTTTGGAAGATTTTTCAATAAATGTTAATACTCTCATTCTTCCCTTTTTAGAAGCTAAGAAGAAATATAATAGTATCTATGACCTGAGTCAAGATAAGAGAAACTCTGTGTAACTGCGAAAGATAGAGAATGCTTTTACCCCACTAAGGAATTAGCCTTTGAGCTGAATCCCAAGGGAAGGGCACAGTTTTGATATTCAAAAATGAGAGAGAACAATACAAGGGAGAGGAAAGAACTAATTAAAGGTGGTTTTGAAGTGTTGAATGCTGAAAATCTAAAAAGTAGAGCCAGATTGGCTAAAGTGTAGGGTTGATTTGGGGCAATAATGACGTAAAAATATAAACATCTTAGAATCCATTGTTAAAGCTGTCATTTTGGTCTTTGTTTAGAAAACCCAGTGAATTTAAGGATGTGATGGGAGTAGCGCTTTAGAAAGCTCAAATTTGCTAGCCTGCCATATCTATTGGAGGAGCCCTTGTCTGGGGAGGCTAGCAGCAATTTAGGAGGTTTAAGATGGTAAGGATCTGAACAAGGGCACGGTGAATAGGAAAAGTAAGTTGTAGCAAAGAGAAATTGACAGCATTGAGTAGTGCTCATGATGGCAGAATAAGGGCAAATGGAAGATTCAGAGCCTGGTGGATGGAAATGATGATGACATCAGAAAAATAATAGTAAGAAAATTTACTGGACTTAAGGTTTAGCATTCGAGAATTCAATTTGAAGTGTTAAGTTAAATACTTGGATTATTAGGACTGGAGAGTTCCTTACCTTTCTATAGAGTTGCCAGTTGGTCCGTTGGGAATGATTATGAGAACTCTGTCCTTGAGAGACCAGAAATTAAAAGAGACCTGAGAAAGAATCTTTATCAGGAGGAGAATTGAAGGAGAAAAACCAAAAAGGAAGGCAGTCAGTGAGTATTTCTGGTGGTGCCATCGCCAGTGAACGGTACTGAGAGATTGAGTTCAAGGGCTAAGGACTGTTTTGCTTGCTACCGGAAGCTTTTTATGAATATTGTGCTTCTCTACTTACTTTATATAGAGAAAGTTAACTTGTTCATAGGTTGTGTTACTTCATAAGAACCAGGAGCCATCTTTAGTTTGCTGTTGCTTTACGTAAGGAATTTAATTTGTCTATGGCATAAAATAAATGGGGACTTCTAAAAGTTTTCTTTCTTGCCTCATCACATGGTGCTTGGCCACTTTTGGCCTATGTGACAGACATGTTGTAGTTATCTAAGTAAGGATGTCGAGCCTTTATTCGTTTGTTGGTTTGTTGACTATCTTCCCAAATAAGACCAGTGTCTGGCTCCTGGTAGGAACCTAGTAAATGTTAGGTTAATATTAAGGTCTTTTGTGCAAGGAATAGGGAATGAGGAGTCCACTCTGATTTCAGGAGTGGGAAGAGTTCTGTTCTGTGTGTAGTAAAACATTTCAGTTCCATGAATTACATGGAGAAAGAGGCAGAGTTACAGGTATAGTCTTGATGTATTAGAGGATGATGGGATACTTAAAAAGCTGGATACTTTTATGTCTTTTTTTGTTGAAATACAGTTGATATATAATAGTATATTGGTTTCAGATGCACAACATAGTGACTTGACAATTGTGTGCAATACTAAGCTCTCATCATGATGAGTGTAGTTACCATCTGTCAACATTCAAAGAAATTGTAATATTATTGATTATATTCTCTATGCTATACTTTTCATCCCCATGACTAATTTATTTTATAATTGGAATTTTGTACTTCTTTTTCCCCTTCACTTTATGTCATCCATCCTCTCTCGCCTGTGGTAACTGTCAGTCTGTTCTCTGTGTTTATGAGTTTGTTTTGTTCTTCATATTCCACATGTAAGTGAAATCATGTATTTGTCTTTCTGATTCACTCAGCATAATACACTCTAGGTTCGTTCATGTTGTTGTAAATGGCAAGATTTCATTCTTTTTTATGGCTGAGTGTTTTCATTGTAGACACTTAATATTAAAAAAAAAGATAGGTTCAGTATGAGATTTAAAAATCTTTTAACATTTTCTTTTTCTTTAGGGCAGGTGGAAAAATAAGGAACGAATTCTCATCTTTTCTTCCAGAGGAATAAATTTCAGAACAAGACATTTGATGCAAGACTTAAGAATGCTAATGCCTCATTCTAAAGCAGGTGCCTTTATATCATATATGTTAAAAAATTTATATTTATGAACTGTTTATATATTTCCCGTGCAAATCATACTTCATTCAACCTTCTCAGGTAAAGAACTGTGATGCCTCTGAAGTTTATCTTTTCAGTGCCAAGATTTTTCCAGTTAATGCTTTGTTAGAAATTCTTTGCAAAATTTATTAAATATTCTCTTTACTTTCTTAAACAGATATCCTCATATATCAAAACATTTCTTGAAGGTTCAGGAATGTCTTTATCGTAGTACTCTCAGAGGTCGTGAACTGGTTTGTCCTTAATGATTCAGGACTGCTGTGTATTGCTTTCTGCATTAAAAAAAAAAGTTCTCATTTAAAAAACTAATGCACTGGAGAAGGCCTTGAAGCACCTTTAAACCAGGGCTCAGTCTACTTCTAAACACCAAGCTCCTTTTAGCAGTGAGGGGTCTTTGAGGCAAGTGAAGACTGTCTATTTTAGGTTTAGTACTGTGGCAGTGCTGTCATGCAGCTGTTTTTATGCCTGTGTTGGGAGGTGCTTTTGGTTTTAATTCTAGGTAGTAACTTTGTTCTTTGGACCAGTGTTTTTCATACTGGGGTCTGCTGTTTTATCTTCAGATTGCTGAAACTAGTAAGATAAATTTTGATTTGTATCTGTTTTTCCTATGATAATATAAAACCAATCTTTTTTTTTTTATAACGTTTTTTTTTTTGGCATCTGTAATTCAAAATTGAAAATTTTGAATTCAAATTTAAGTGTGAGTATTCCTTAAACTGAAGGCCTAGAACAATCTTCAGTCTGTGAGAATGTTTCCATTTGTGAAAGAGATTCATAGAATACATGAAGTCTGAGAAACAGTGCTTAGATCATACTTTATAATTCTTCAAGACTGTTTTGTAACCACTAATTTTTGCATTTAAAAACAAAACGTGTTTTCAGGTCTAATCATTTAGAAAATTAGCATCTCATTTAAACTGAGGATTATAAAAACATTTAAAATACTGTTATGGAAAGTGTGTGATTTGTGATTTGACCGAAGTAGCTTTGAAAGCTTTTGTTAACCTGCTTTTTCTTTTTTTCTTTTTATAGATACTAAAATGGATCGTAAAGATAAGTTATTTGTGATTAATGAGGTAATTTTATAAAGTAAAATATTCTAGGAACACTACATATATAAGAGCAAAATATTTTGGAACACTAATGATGATTCATTGAAAAAATAAATCAGTTATTCAGTGACTTTTAAATTTGTAAAAAATCTTCCAACAAATTTTATTAACTTCAATAATCTGCTTTCTAAATTTTGATTATACTTATAAAAGTAGTTTTACAGTTTAGTACTTCAGTGCATAGTTTTTCTTGATCATTCTTTTATTTGTGTTGTTTCAACAAGCATACTGAAATTTCCTGAAGTCTGGAACTGTATTTCATCTTTTTTCTCAGTATGTTTAGTACAATGCTATATTCATAGTAGGTACTCATAAAAATTATCAACATGTATAAAGTAAAATTAAAAACTAACTAAATATTTTAAAACCTCACATTGTAAAAGTGTTGTGCCAGTGTTAAAAGTGATACATGTGGTATTTACTTACAACGTAGTAATAGCTTAAATTTGCAAAATACTGTTGAAGATACTAAACTTGTATTTTAAAATTTTTAAAGCTTAAAAGAATTAAGGTAGTTCACTTTAGCTATTAGAGAGGCCTCTTTTATCCATTTAATACAAGTTTTTGAGTCTCTGCTATATGTGACATTATTCTACATGTGTGGAAATAGTGTTTTACCAGACAATGCCCCTGTTGTCATGGAGCTTACATTATAAGCAGGGAGACAGGCCATATACAAATATTACAATTTCAAATGAAGATAGGAGACATACAATAGGATAGGGTTTCTAGGAACCGTGGTTTGATGGGGAAACAGGCAATATAATGTTGTCTTTATTCTAAGACCAGTAAGGAACAAAAGTATTGTACCTATGAATTTAAGTTGTTAAGTTGAAAGCATCTAGTAGTTTAAAGCATATGAATATATTAGTTTATGAATGTTATAGTAATAAAGGACTTCATTCCTGTATTGCTCTGATGTATTTCTAAAGTGTGACTTTGTAAACTTTCAAGTTGTTGAAGTTTAAATCAACTTGAAACAGGTTTTGGGTATTTCTGCCTTTTACCAGTCCCTTAGAGATTTCGCAGAACCAGTTCACAGGAATAATAATACAGATGAGGAAGTAAAAACTTCAACTTAAATTTCTTGGGCTTAAAATAAAAAAGCCAAAGAACTAAAAATCAAAATTAGCATTATAAAGGATTTCTTTGGTTTTATAAGGTCTATTTTTCCCTAAAACTGGTGAGGCTAATTGTAGTGTGTTTTATCCCTAGGGCATCTGTTATCAGTATTTGTGGTTTGTACACAGGACTATGGTTAGAAGAGGTTCTCAGTAATCAGAATTGAGTCCAGGTACTTTAAACAGCTAGGCCAAAAAGAGTGGATGCTTCCACCAAAGAGGTGGGCAGAGTATCTACTTTACCTTGGATAGAGTACCTAAGAACTGTAAATGTTTCTGCAAAGAAGTTTACCTAGATTTAGACCTTCATAGCCTGTTAACCTGCTTAAGTATCTTTGGAGGTATCTAGATACTAATTATATTGAATTGCATTAGTTCTCATTTTTATTATCTTCATTTATTAGTTTCATTTTTGTATCCTTTGCTTTATTTAGGTTTGTGAAATGAAAAACTGCAATAAATGTATCTATTTTGAAGCTAAGAAGAAACAAGATCTCTATATGTGGTAAGGAATGTATTAAGTAAGGTTTGAGTGGAACTCAATTCTTTTAAATGGATTTGTTTTTTGTACCTCTTGTTAAAGATACCTTTCGGGCTTTTATGTAAAAAGACAGGGCCAGGGGAGAAAGCAAACTAATTTGATTTCACAAAAGTTCAAACCTTTAAAGAAAATTAAATATATGAATATTGTGAGCACATTATGGTGTCCTTTAAACTGTGAATGGACAGTATTATTTACCATGTTCTAATTCTAATGAGTTGAAGAAAACTTCATTATTTTTCAGGCTCTCAAATTCACCTCATGGACCATCTGCTAAATTCCTTGTTCAGAATAGTAAGTTGACTCAATTTAAAATTTTTTATGAGAAAATTGAAAATAATCTTTGGGATAGTTGTGTCGAAGTTATAACTTTTTTTGTTGCAATTTTTCTAGTTCATACCCTAGCTGAACTAAAGATGACTGGAAACTGTTTGAAAGGTTCCCGGCCCCTTTTATCTTTTGACCCTGTAAGTTTCTCAGCGTACGAAGTCTAAATTTACTCTGCAGTGTTGTTTTTTTAGTGGATATTGTTGTATATAGTTAACATAAAAGACACACAGTTTTAAAAAAAACACTCTGCTGTGGTCAAATATGTTCACTTTATTTTTATAGGTTTTTGATGAGTTGCCGCATTATGCATTGTTAAAAGAACTCTTGATTCAGGTAAGTATTTTTTCTAGAAAATATTTTTAGTAATGTGTCTTTCTTTGGACTTTTTAACTTATACATAGAATAAGAAACTAAAATACCTTTTGTTTTGCTAGATCTTCAGTACACCACGATATCATCCCAAAAGCCAGCCATTTGTGGACCATGTGTTTACTTTCACCATTTTGGATAATAGAATGTGGTTTCGGAACTTCCAGGTTAGCTTTTATTATATTTGAAATAAATTGGGATATACAGTGTTTTGTGTATATTACAGATGCAAATAATAAATCCTTTTGATTTAAATAGCTTTCTTATCCTCCACAGACTTGCAGTAAGTAACTACTCATACCACATCTCTTAAAATACTTTAAGTGATCTCTGCCTTCTTCTTTTCATGGCTGTCAGCTGATAAGGAGTATGGTTTTTCTAAAAAGCTACCATATATTCAGTAAAATATAAGTTTCTTTCCCAAGAGGTTAGAATTACCTGGGTGTGTTAAGACTTAGAAAAAATAAAACCCTTGTAGAGGACAATGAGAACTATTAGATGAGTCACAGATGGCTTGTTCAGGAGGAGAGGTGATTCTGGAAATCCTGAAGCAAGAGTTTGGTAGGATAAGTCTGCAGAGAGGTGGAGAGGAGACATGGAAGAGAACAGCAAGACAAAATTTCAGGCAGCATATGAAGTGATGTGGGCTTTTTTCTGAATGTGCTATATTGGATTCCTTGCAGTTGAGTTAAACATACCTGCTTCTTAATCTCTGAGGGCAGATATACCTGAATCAACAATATTAATATTTACAGTTCAGAAGTTCCCTTTCAATTCCACAGTTGGTAGCCATAAAATAAATTTGGCCATGTATCTTTTTACATAACTTTCCAATCTAGTTTGAATTAGATTCATAAAAACAAGGGGCTGATTTAAATGTTAAAAGGTTTCCCATAGTGTGCTTTAATACAATTTGTTATGGTGACTGTCATTTTCAAAATTCATTTAACCACAGTTTTTCAAGAATATCTGCATTATGAGAAGATTTAGACCAAATTGAAATTACTCAATTTTCAAAGACTGTGCTTGAAAAAATGTGTTTTCCCATGACAACTGTCTGTAACTAGTAATATATTTTAGAAAATATTGATGATTTGGCACTTGGTAGGTCTACCTTAATTTGATTGTCAGTTCCTTTAAACACATTTGTAGTGCGGTTATAGACAGTGTAACTTTTGGGAACAGTATATCCAACCAAAATGAAATATTTCCTTTTTATTAAAGATTATAGAAGAAGATGCTGCTCTCGTAGAAATAGGGCCTCGTTTTGTCTTGAATCTCATAAAAATTTTCCAGGGAAGTTTTGGAGGACCAACTTTATATGAAAATCCTCACTACCAGTCACCAAACATGGTAAGCTGTTTTTGTTGTTCATTGGTCCTGTCTTCATTGTCCCAGAACTCTGGCCAAAATAATTCTCTCAAGTAGTCACTCTTCTATTAACTATGAAACTGAATTTGATTTTTGCTGTATATGGTCTTACCAATTGCTTTTTTTTAATGACACAGGGTGAAAGGAAATAGTGTTTATAACTGAATGTCCCTGACATATATAAAATGTTAATTTTTATTTCAAAAGCATCTTAATTTTTTTGTTTTTAGCATCGGCGTGTCATACGATCTATCACAGCGGCAAAATACAGAGAGAAACAGCAAGTGAAAGATGTGCAGAAAATGAAAAAGAAAGAACCAAAGACTATTCTTCCACATGATCCCACTGCAGATGTTTTTCTTGTACCAGCTGAGGAAAAGCCTATAGAAATACAGTGGGTAAAACCAGAGCCAAAAGTTGATTTGAAAGCAAGAAAGAAAAGGGTATATAAAAGGCAAAGAAAAATGAAACAGAAGATGAACAGTGGGAAGGCAAAATGAATCAATGGATAACTAGATTTTTTCCTGGTATTTTGTATTTATTTTGTATTCAGTGTATAAATACTTCTGTTATCCAGGGCTGTATATCTAGTGTGGCATTTAAGAGAAAAAAAAAATTAAAAATCTTAACAGCTTCACTGTGTTTTTCTAAATAAAATAACAATTCATCAGTTAATTTGTTTTTCTTTTCAAAGTGTGTTTGGTAAAACTAAACATTTAGTGTTCTTAGGAGTTAGGCCAGCTCTCTTGGATTAAAATTTTGGTTTTAGCAAAGATGAAATTCGGGTATGTTGAGTCATTATTACTTAAAGCATTAGGCACTTCGAGAACATAGTTTTGGATGGTAAAGTGGGGATCGACTGGTAGAAAGGAGAGTGTCTTACTAGTAAAAGTGTGAGTCCCCGAGTCACTCACTCACCAATGAGTGAGCCCTTGGATTTTGTTTTCTTATGTTGAAAAAGAGTCCAATAAAAATTAATAGTTTTTGAGCATCAGTTGAGTTAGTACATGTTGAAAGTATTTTGTAGATTTCAAATTTAGAAGCAGTGGGTATAATTACATAATTAAAATGGTAAAAGGTAAAATGGAACAGGTAGAGGACACTAGAACACTTGAATTTCTCCCCTTATGAGAACTTTATTGGAAGCAAAGACAGCACTGGGTTTATCATTCTGGAGGTAGATTAATAGCAGGGAAAGAAGATTCTGGGTGCCAGTGTTCTTGGAGAGGTGGTTTGCTGCTGAGGAAATGGGCACATACACATAAACTATACACACAAAATTGGGTCATGCATGTATTTTGTCACCCACTTATTTCATGTTAATTATTTCCCCATGTCTCTGTTTACAATATGACAGATAATTGCACAGTATTCCACTGTACCACAGCTGTAGACTCAGTCTCCTACTGTTGGATATTTAAGTATTTCAGTTTTTTCTGATAAAAGTGCTTGCACCAACATTTCTATGCATAATTGTGTACACCTGTGGTTTCCTTATTATAGGTGGAACTTAGGTCAAAAGTTAGAAGCATTAGGACATTTTGATTTTTCCCCTGAATATTGTACCTTGCCAGAGGTTAGACTGTTCAATTTCTTGTACTCTTGCTAATGGTGATGACAATCATGGTCTACTTGACTGGTAAAAACATGAATACTTTCCTTTGGCTAGGTATTAGTTTTTCTTTTGTGACTAGTACTGTTTTTGTGTATTAGTTACGTTTGTAAGAACTCTTTTATATAGTAATCTAGTCATCTTCCCTCGTTTGTTACTTGAATTTTTAATTTTATGTCTTTTAAATGCAGGCAGAATGATCAATTTTCTTTCATTTTTTTCCCTTAATTTTCTGCTAAGAGGTCTTGACTGTATATTGGGCTATTTTGTCTTGTAATAGGCTATATTAGGCTACTTACCTTGAAATCTAAATTACGCAATTAGGTCAGAGGTCTACTTGAAATACTTGTGTGCAGCTAATGAAGGCCAAATTTGGTTCAGTGCAGACTAAAAAAGCCTTTAGGCAATTGAATATAGATAGTCTTGGGTGAAAAGAGCTGTGTTTAGGATTTGTTTTTAAACACTTCTCAAGTTAATTATGGATTATTAACATACATGGATCAACAAGCTATGAGTTTAAGTGAAGACCTGAGATTTTAATACTTTCTGATGTGTGTTGTCGTTTTAGTGGAATTGCCATTTAACAATTTTGATTTTCAGTTTCCACACATAAATGTTTTCCTGTCCCAAATTACTTCCCTTTCCCAGTCACTTATATGGATACCCCATTTGAATGAATTCCTCATTTTCCAAGTCCATGTGCATTTAGAAATCAGCTTGTTTAAAAGAGATGCTCCTTTAGACTGAAGTTTATATACAGTTTAATTGTCTTGAAAGTTTTATGTAATGTTACAAGTAAAAATATATCCCTCTTCCCTCAACAGGAAAAAGGCAAGTAATTCAAATTGTAAGCAAAACTAGATAGAAGAAGAAAAATGTCCTTTGTCACTTTTGTCCCTTCATGCCCAATTCCAGTCTCAGAGGAGGAAAGGTCCCATCTTTTGCTCCACTCAAAACTGATTTCCCTATCCATTATCAATTTATAACTAAGGCTGTTGAGTGTCTTCTTTCTTTGGAAAAGAGGTAGGTGTATGAATTTTGAGTAGCAAGTTGTTTGGGCAATGGTGTGTGTAAAAATTTGATGAAGTTTAGAGTTGGTTTTGTTTCGACTGTTCAGGGGGCAGGCTATTAGGAAGAAAGTAACGTTCTTTAAGTACCCTCAATCCTATGCAATAGAAGCTAGCAACAGAGCCACGTGTCTCTTAACCATGCATGGCTGACAAAATCACCTAACAATGAGTATATGTGAACATCCCACATTACAGTGAAGTATATTGGGGTACTGATGCCTTTCAATGACAGGATATTATTTGGACACCTAATTGGGAAAGTTGTACAGATCTTCCATCCTGTAATACAATGTATCAATTAGATCAACCAAAACCTATTCCTTACCTGCATTCTCAACCTAAAGTTATCTTGCAAAAGTAGGATTAGAGACCAGAAAGAGAATTAGAGTCATGGATGGGTCAGCACAATTTCATCCATATTGGTGGTAAAACATTGTAGTATGTTATTTTAAAATGTGTTGATAATTCCCTCTTAACCTGATTTCAGTTTGTCATCTTATTTACTATTGTTTCTCATGCATATTGGCTAGGATTATTAGAGATCTCACTAAGTGGCAGCTGAAGCGTACTGAAAAGAGTTTTAAAAACCTTGGTACTCAGTCCCACGAAATCCTGGCATTGATTAATTGGGGAAGTTTTGAGCAAACCACTTGACTACTTCGAGCCTGAGCTGCCACATCTGTAACAATTGGACTCAATTGAGAAATTATCAGAACCTCAAGATGTTTTCCCGACTCTTCTCCCATCAGACTCCCATCTCACTTCGTTTCAGCCCTTACATCGGCTGCCCATTCGGTGCCTCTTACCGTCTGTGCCCCTCACAATGACTCCCACTGAGGCCCCGCCTCCTAGCTGCCGTGGCCCCGCCTCTCATCCCTTTGCGGCCCCTTCTCCGTCCCGCCGCGGCTCCGCCTCCCACCGGCCGGGGCCCCGCCTCCGTTCCGCGCGGCTCTTCCCAGAATAGAGCCCGCCCTCCGCCCATGCGGAGCCGGGGCCGCAGGCACCGCCCTCTCCGCGCGTCCGCGTGCCGCAGCCCGCGCCGCCTTCCGCCGCCTCGCTCCAGCGCCCCGCGTCGCCGCCGCCGGGCTCACTGGCTGGCGCGGTGCGGGCGCTGGGCTCCCGCAGCAGGAGAGGACCATCAGGGCCGCCGCCCCCACTTCGGCCCGGGCCCGGGCGCTGGCCCCGCCCTGGGCCCCGACCCCAACCACCTGCCCGGCCAGGCGATGAAGTGTCACTACGAGGCGCTGGGGGTGCGGCGCGACGCCAGCGAGGAGGAGCTCAAGAAGGCCTATCGGAAGCTGGCACTGAAATGGCACCCGGGTAACTATTTAGCAACCGCCGCAGCCCCTCGCAGCAGCCCGTTCCTCGCGACCCTTCTCCCCGTTCTCCCCGTTCTCCCCGGAACCAGTCCAGGAACCTGACCGAGCCTAGACCTGCCCGCCCGGTAACTCCCCTCGCCCTGGAAGCCGGCCGTCTCCGGCCAGGTGGCCCCTGCGCAGTCCTCCCGGCTGAGCGGCCTCTCCACCCCTCGTGGACGCTAACGGGCGGCCCCGAGCTTCGCTCGAACTCCGGGTACCCCCACCAGCACCCGGCTTCCTGCGGTGCCACTTGATGGAGAAGACCACATTCTAGGACTTTACTTGCTTCTCCCACCCCATCGCAAGCCCACTGAGGAGTCGTCGTGAGCTGTTTACTCAGTCCTAGGCTTGCCCTTTGCTGGAATCCCCAGCGTCTCAGCTAACCCCGGGCTTTTCCTCTGCCCTTAACTTGCCGCGAAAATTCCAGCAACCTAAGTGTAATTTATGGCTCCTTTTTTATTGAAATCAGGACAGAGGAAGTAGGAAAGGTATTTTAAAAAGCTACACTTTTTTTTTTTAAGTGACCTGTTTGAGCAGACCCTGTATACTCTGGATTTTCTGCAGATGAAGAGTTTTAATTGCGTGCCTTCCCTAGTGAAGTTTGTGTGTTTACTTAGAAATATGCCTCCTTTGGATATCTTTTTGGTTGTAGTCCAGGCCTGTGTGATTTTTGTGAAGTGATCTGATCTTCCAGATTGGGAAACCAAGGCAGTAGTTGAATTTCAGCTTTTTAAGATTTATAGGAGGCTTTCATATTACCAGTAATCACTAAGCGCGTTTATAGCCTCCAGTATATGCAAGTTGCTACACTGTCGATTCTGAAATGCTTTAGATTCAGAGTCTTGCTGGGAAGCCTGCCGTATATAATCCTTATACATGCAAAAAGTTAAATACAAGTGCAAGCAAAATAGCACAAAGTATATAGTTGGTAGTTGGATTAATAGAGCAACTAATATATGCCCCACCAATTCACAGAGGAGGGAGTTTTCCTTAATACACTGAGAGGCGATGAGCCTTCCCCTTGGCAGAGGAGCCTGGATTTTAGCTGGATCTTGGAACGGAATTGGAGAAAAGTGAACTTTATGGGGAAGAGCACTGTGGTGGACAAAAGATGATTCAAGGGACAGTTTCTTTGACCAAGTTCTATTGAGAGTCTGAAAATATGGGTAGGGACAAGAGCTGAAGGAAAGGCTCTGGACCCAAAGTCAGAAGGTAATGTCTGTAGTTGAGGGAACAAGAAATAAAGGTATGGGTTTATTACTTAGAGAGATTACTAACAGAGGAACTAAAAGCTTGATATACCGAAAGGAAAGAGGTAAATGAGCTGAATGTTCTCACAGCAGGAAGTCAATAGCTATCTCCAAAAAATTAATCCAAAAATAGTGTAGAAGCATATTCTTAGGGTAAATAGGAGTTACCATTACAAATCAACCAAGGAATTAGAAGAAAGTTAGGAATTCATTGACTCTCGGGACGGCAGAGTGTGATGAAGAGGATTAATGCTTGTAACCAAATGCATATTTGATTTTGATGACAATATTAGGATGTTTTGAGTAGTACTGAAATTAAATTGTAAAGGGCCTTGTCTGTTAGATTAAGGACTGTGAAATTTGTTGTTCCAATAATGGAGAGTTGATGCTGCTTTTATTAAGATGTCTTAGGAAGGTACTATAAAGGTAGCTGAGTAGATTGAAGAGGGCCAGAAACAGAAGTCAGAGTCCACGTGGGCAGGCAAGTACCCCAGCCAGGCTTGGTGTCACAGGGAGTGGTAAGGCCAGGTTAAGAGATGTTGTAAAGAAAAAATTGCCAGATCTGGTGATTAATTGGAAATCAGTGCCAGGAAGTATGCAAGTAATACTAAAATATCAGTTAACTAATTTGAAACCAAATCTTTTAGGAACTAAATGTGAATGTCTTCTTTGGGTTGAAGTACATATACATTTAAGGGATAAATACTCTCCCAAAAAGTGCATGATTTTGATACTCTTTGAAAAAGTGCACAATTTTGATATTCTTTGCTGGCTCATTAAGTGTCACCCACAGTGTTTCATTCTGTGTGCCAGTACTGTGTTAGATGTTTCTGACATTAATATATGGGCTTTGCTTCAAGAATATGTACCTCAGATAGAAAGGCTACCCATTTTTCATTGTTGAAAAAAAAGACATTTCCTTTATTTTATTGAGGAACTGAGAATAATTTCAAGTAGGGTCAACAGCACTGCCTAGTGAAATCACTCCTTGTAAAGGGCAGGCTTTCAATAATTAATCTTATGAATATTTCTTGAGCATGTCACTGTGTGAATGAGACAGGACAGGTCCCTGCTCTGCCGGCACTTAAAGTTTTCAGGGAAAGAGGAAAGCTAGCAATTTTGATCCAGTGACATATGGGCTGTATGAGGGCAAATACAAGGTGTTTATGAGCACATGTACCCAGCCTGGACTGGGTGTACGGGTGGGCTGGATAGATATGCGTCCCTGAAGAAGTAACATCTAGGTCAAGACTTAGAGCAGGAATGCAGGGAATGTTGAGGGAGGCCAGAGAAAGCATGGCAGAGTCTAGAAAGGGCAAAGAGGTGAGCAGGCCAGGTCCACACCAGTCAGGTCTTGAAGGTTGTAGTAAACTGAGAATCTGGATGAAATAGATTGGATTTTAACCTAGAGGAATTGGAAAGCTTTTGAAGAGTTGGAAGCAGGGAAAATGATAGGTTTATATTTTTCAAGTATCTTTCTGGGCTGTAGTGGAGAGGATGGGTGGGAGCAGGCAAGATGAGGTAGGGTGATGAGGAGGTCAGAGTACATTGAAGTCACCCTGGATGCAGATAGGCCAGGTGATGGAAACTCTGAGCTAAGTGCCAAAACTGTCAGTGAGTACGGGGGAGTGGCTAGGAGGTGTGTAGGCAGTGAGGAGGGAAGAAGGTGGGATGGCCAGATGGTCTGGGTCTTGAAGGAATGTAGTTTGTCCCCAGGAGTGAGTGAAGGATCAGTGATGAGGTGGCTGCCAGCTCTGCCCCAGCCCCGTATGTGAGGGAAACTTTAGGAAAGGGTGTTCTCAGGGAGCCTGGCTGTGGCTAGGCAGGGCTTAAAAGGCATGATTTCTGGAAATGTCAAGAAGGCACTGTAAAAACTTTTGGGAGGGAGTGGAAGAGTATGGGAGTGGATCAAGAGAAAATCACAAAGAATTGTGTGCGAATACCTTTTAAACTTGGATGAATGAATTTACGATACCTGTGGCTTTTGCATTTGGCTAAAATAAACATGGGCTTCCTTTTTTGAACTTATAGCCTATTAGATCTCAGCTCAACCATATAGTCAACCAGTTCAGGTATATTTAAGTGAAATAAAAAGCCTTATGGCAGATTGAAAAGTTATTTTAGAAAGAATTTTCAGTCTGAAGCTGAATCTTATATGCAGATGGTATGTTGATGAGTTTTAGGTGTTTAGAAGCTTTAGCTTTCTCCAAACTTCTTGGGGGAGGAAAGAAGGGCGTGGAGAGAAACAGGACGACACAGTACAGCACTGATTGAAAGGTGACCAAGAACCACCCACCTGCCACCCGCAATCACCTTTTTTGTTTTATGTGGGAAGATGTGTTTTCTGGCTCTTTTGTTTTTGCCATCTTTAATTTGATTTTAATGTGATTCTCTGACAAAAATGTTCTTAATGATATGATGGAGATGTAGAAGTCATGACTTTTCAGCTGGACTCACCTTGAAGGTGAATCTAGATGACGTTCAGCTGCATGTGACAGGAAGCTGGCTATAGCGGCTAACCCAAATAGTCATTTTATTTTTCTCACATATCAAGAAATCCAAAGGTGGCCTCTCTTGGTAGTTTCAGCTGCTTAATGCAACCATCAAAGACTTGCTTCATCATCCTCACCATCAGGCTTGAGTCCTTGCAACAAGTATAAGCTGCTAAGTCTCAAGGATCGAAGTTTATTGTTCTCATGTAAAGGAACAGATGAGCAGGCAAGCCCCAGAAAGGCGTCCTCCTCCAGGAGGTCGCTGGACTCTGCTCAGCAGGCCCTCACTCGTCATCCACGGTGGCGCCTGGGGATCCCCACCAGCAGAATGGAGGCTGGAAGGATAAAGCAGTGACAGAGACGGTGTGCTAGGTGCCCTTTGAGGAAGATTCTTAAAAGTTGATCAGAGGATATTTTGACAGATGTTATTCAGCAGAGCCTAGGTAGTCATATTTCAGAAGAGACTGGCAAGTGGAGTCTCAATTCCGGGCCCAGGTGCCCACCCGAGAGTCAGAGGCCAGTTCTTCCTGGAGGGAGGCAGTGTACTAGCAGTTGTCTCACAATTCTCAGAGTTCAACTGCAGGCATTAAACCATGACTTGGGGCAGGACATGGGGCATGGGTTAAGGGCATAAGGTATGTGCTGCCAACACCCATCCTTTTCATCTGGAAAACCAAGCCTGTCCTGGGAATCTTAGTAGACATCTGTTTATATCTGATTAGCTAAAAATGGGGTCCCCTGATAACACCACATCTTGCCAATGGGTTTCAGCCCCGGGCAACTTCACTATGGATTCAATGAGACCAAAGAAATGACAGTAGAACGTTTTTGGGGTGAAAGGGTTATATTCAACTTTATTTCCACAGTGGCAGGTCATTCACTAGAATCCTGTCCACTCAGAGCGAGTCTGCATGCAGCAAGCCGGTCTCTGCCTCTGGGCCTCTCTACCTGCACAGCCTTCTTAGTCTCTGTCCTCGGCACTGCCACCACTCCAGTCTTGTCTCTGTTCTCCTGCAGTCTTGCAGCCATGCCACCATGTCACCCAGAGCACTGGGCAGGGCTCTTTATATAGAGTCAGTAACGACGTAATTTACCCACACATGTGTAGTGAGCTAGCCAACCGGAGCCAGGTGAGAATCCTGGCCACAGGAGCCTTCACTTTACCCACACCCCAACTTAAGAAAGTCTGGGGAGGAGAATTTCTTAACTGGGTATATAATCACTGTGAACAAAGTAAGGGTTTTGTTAGGAAGAAGGGAATAGATACTGGGTAGACAGTACTGTCTCACAGAGTGTGATCAAAATCCCAAATAATTATAACAGCACACACTGAGTGTCTTTTACTACACATGACCCATTGAAGCGGGGCTACAAGATGGAGTTTGGAAGTATTAGTTGGAAATAACAGGAAATCTAACCACAATGGCTTAAACAAGAATTTTTTTCCTCATAAAAAGCATTGGCGGTAGGTGCCTGTTGGCATTGTGTCAGTGGTTCCCCACATCCCTTGGGATCTGGCTTTGCCTGCATGGTCTCAAGTGGCTGCTTAAGCTCCAGCTCATTCACAGCCTCAGGCCCCAGCCCCTTGCCGCCTGTGGGCTGGAGGCTGCCATTCTTCACCACGTGGCCTTTTCCATAGTGTCTTCGTGTCCTGGCAGCTGGCTACTTCCAGAGAGATCAGAGAGAGGAGAGCCGGAGGTGAAACAGCAGTCTTCCATGAACTTATCTCAGAAATGATGTACAGCGCCTCCTCACTGGTGCTCTGCGCTGGCCACACAGACCAGCCCTGCTGACCTGGGTGGGGACTATGCTGGGGAGTGAATGCCAGGAGGTGGCCTCATCCTTCGGGGCCATCTTGGAAGCTGGCTCCCTCCTGAGGGCAAAGATGCTTTTCCGAATTTTGTGTTAAGGAAGCACAGCAAAAGGAAAAGCAGCTAGTTAGTACTTACTTTTTAAGCTTTATGAGGCTTATTTTGGTGTATGTTGTTAAGAAAGAAACACTTTGTGAACAATAAACACAATCTAGCACTAGATAATGTTAGTCCTTGTGTAACTGATTTGATATGCATGTTTTTGTTCCTTTTAAAAATAAGATGTATACTGTTCAGGTTTTCCATTTGTGAACATCCAGATTGAGTGCTCGATGATGCACCAAGGCTTGGGGAAAAGCCTGAAATTTCTACTCGGGTAGATGCTTATATCAGATCCTGATTATCAGCTGTCATCGGTGTCTCTGCCTTTCCCTATTTGTACACACCTCATCTGTTTACAGCATTTGTCATGGAAGAGGTCCCTTTTAGATTGTGTCCTCCACTTTTTTGATGATTAAAATTCTGTGACTTTATTTTAACAGACAAAAATCTGGATAATGCCGCTGAAGCAGCTGAACAATTTAAGTTAATCCAAGCAGCATATGATGTGTTGAGTGACCCTCAGGAAAGAGCATGGTGAGCATCAAACTGTCCCTCCTACTCTCACGAATTTTGTTGGGAAGAATTATCAATAGATAAGTTTTTAAAAAAATATATTGAATGATTTGTGATGTGTTTGAAGCATCTGCCATCTATTCATTATATAAAGTGCAGTGTTTGGGTGGAAGAAACCTTAATGATGATTACACCAACTATCTGGATTTTACAGGTAATGAAAGAAAGTTTGGCAGTATTAGGTAGATTGAATTTTGATACTTATGAAGTGACTTGTCATTAAATGAGGTCTCTGGTATATAACAAATTTACTGATGTCAGACAAGGAAGAATGTTGACTTGTCCTTAAAACTCAGATTCAGTGTAGTGATACAAGAATCGTAATATTTTCCCAGTAACTACTTTATATAAAGAAATTAAGCTTCTACATCTATGACAGATACTTTTACTAATGATGACCTGATAATTTAATACCATTTCCAAGAAAAATTTCTACACTTGAAATTCTGAGTTTTCAGATTCTCTTGAACTTCTTTGCTGCAAGGAAGTAGATTTTAAGTCCTGACATAACTTGAGATTCACCCAAAGAGCAGGTGGGTGTTCACTGCTACCATGAGTCTTCTGTGTGTTAAACACTGTACAGTACAGTTTGCTATCAAGAAAGAAAGACTGTATAGAGAAAATTCTTCTAGAATTGTCTTTTAAATGAAAGTCAGAGAGAGAATCCTAAGTTTTCTCCTCCTGAGGCATTTGCCTTAGAAATGATCTGGACGTAGAAATGCTTTTGCCTTCCATTTGGGAACTTTGAAATTCTTTCCTGGCTTTTTGGTTTAGCCTCTCCTCTAGACTCTAGATTGTTTTCCTGTCTTAAGGATTCCCTTGTCTTTTTATTTAAAGCCCCTGCCTATTAACTCTTCTTTTGGCTGGAAGCAGTACTGTACAATGGCTAGGAGAACTGTGGTCCTTCCAGTGCAGGAGACCTGGTTTTGAATTCCATCTTTGCTGCTAATTACCCTCAGGAATATGGAAAACAAATTATTGACTATTTGCTAAGCTTCAGCTTCCTGTTAGATCTTTGCATATAATAACTAGTTTACAGAGTTTTTATGAGGAGTAATTGTGTGTGAGTGAAGCTCGTAGATTGTTTACATAAACATTCTGTTACATGTTGGTAAATTCCCGATCACAAATGTGTAATTAGTCTAGGAGCAGATTATATCCAATACTGTCCTGATCAATAATGTTTTTTTCCTGTGAAAGTGCAGCCACTTCTCTGGGAGAGTCTGGGAATTCTGTGGCTTATTAAATTCTATGATTCATGTGGGATAATACCATATAATGCCAATGACGTGTTAGAAGTTGCAGTCATAGTTTTAATCAGCAGTTCTGTGAAAGGTTATGAAGTCTTTTCATGTTGATATTTTTCTTAAAATCTTTTGATTATTTATTCAAGCATATAATAATACTGTTTTGTCTGTTTCAGTGTAAGGAGTATTTCTGAATTTTTATTTATTCAGTCTTCAGTGATGATGGTAATTTTTTTGTTGTTATTTAGGTATGATAATCATAGAGAAGCTCTACTTAGAGGTAAGCTTGATGGGGAATATAAAGATGACAGCTTAGATTTGCTTCGCTACTTCACTGTTACCTGTTACTCTGGTCATGGAGATGATGAAAAGGTAAGATAAAGGAGCTGATTCTTAATTTCTTATCAAGCACAAGACTTTCAAATACAGAGAGAGTTCTTAAAATTATTCTATAATAGAAAGTTGAAATAATGTTCATCTTAAAAACTGAAAAAACATTGCCTTCATATGCAAATTGTCAGCATATAAAGACCTCTAGCTGAAATCTAAATGTACTTTAAGTGACAGAGGTTGAACCTGAACTTCTTTAACATTAAAGTTTTCCATGTTTTATTTTAAAATCTTATTCTGTATTCTGTTATTAGACTATGAAAGTATTAAGAATTTGGTTTCTGTTTTTTAGGGCTTTTATACTGTGTATCGTAATGTTTTTGAAATGATTGCAAGGGAAGAACTAGAATCTGTGTTAGAAGCAGATATTGAGGATTTCCCGACTTTTGGAGACTCCCAGAGTGACTATGATACGGTAAAAGAAAACTGCATTGCCATTTTACAGTTAGTGTTTATTTATTGGTGTGCCTTTTCCCCATTTCTTTATTTTTAAAAAATGGATTCTGCTTGTTGGTTCTGTTCTGTGACTCTTTTGCTTCCGGAAGGACTTTCAGCTCCTGCAGCCTCCACACTTTACTTTTCCCTGTTTATTGACTATGGTCCCATCCCATTAATTTCCTCATTTAAGTTATTCTGAAGTGTGATTTATTCTGTAAAGCCTTAGGAGGACTGTTCTCCATTCATTAATAGTAATGTTAGGTGTATGAAAAAAGATGTTTGGCATCACTGATATATGCTGCGTTACTAAAAAAGAAAAGTCTAAAAAAACCTAGCGTTTTACTTCTATCTTGCTTGGTCACTAGGTGGTCCATCCTTTCTATGCTTACTGGCAGAGTTTCTGCACTCAGAAGAACTTTGCTTGGAAGGAAGAATATGATACCCGACAAGCTTCAAATCGCTGGGAGAAACGAGCCATGGAAAAAGAAAACAAAAAGATTCGAGACAAAGCCAGGAAGGAGAAGAATGAGCTTGTCCGTCAGTTAGTAGCATTCATTCGGAAAAGAGATAAAAGAGTGCAGGCCCATCGAAAGCTTGTGGAGGAGCAGAACGCAGAGAAGGCGAGAAAAGCCGAAGAGATGAGGCGTCAGCAGAAGCTAAAGCAGGCCAAGTGCGTACCGCTAGCTGGGTCCCTCGTTGGTGCCAGTGTGGGCCTGGAGGTGACCTCGGCGGGATCTCGTGGGCTTCCAGGCTGGGTCACATCATCCCCACTGCAGCCTTCTTTTGTTTTTCTTTCAAGTCCTGTATTGGACAATGTTTTTTCACCTACTGTGAAAAAGTACTTTTTTTCCCATTGAATTGGAGGTTTCTCTTCCTTTGTACTTGAGATCCTTTACAGGCTCATATAAAATTTAGTAACAACTAACGTGCATTGAATTCTTAGTCTGTATGGGCCCCATTTTAAGCACTTTTCTCACAACAATTCTGTGAATTAGGTTCTGGTTTTTTATCCTCATTCTCCTGAGGAAACAAGGCCAACTGGTCTGAGGGCACAGCTAGTAAATTGCTGACGTGGGAATTGAACCCAAGAAGTCAGCCTTGTGCCCTGGCTTTTAGCCACCTTGCAATACAGCCCCTTTAATCGTGTGTTCTTAAAGATTTAGTTCATTTTAGTGTCTTTAAAGTTTATTTTGTTGTTTTCAGTTAGTGTAAAAGCTTTGTGTCCAGAGAATTACAGGATTCTTTATAAAATTAATTCATTTCTTAAAAATTCTACTTACCCCACTCCTTGCTTTTGAAAATTACCACTTTACTTGACACCTAGATGATTTAAAAATACCTCAAGACTTTAAATAAGTTGCCAAGAGGTATATGTTTCAAAAGCCATATCTAGTAGAGCAATTAAAATCAAACAGATGACAGATTTAAGTGACCCTGGTTTTAACCAAGCACAGGTTTTAAGTTGGTAAGCATTGACCCCTTGGGAGGGGAAGCTCTCAAGGAGATGGATTTGAAGCCTAAAGAGTAAGTAAAACCAATTTGGAGACATGCTTCTCAGTGTAGCTGACTGCTGTGTGTGTCTAGACTGGCAGAACAGTACCAGGAACAGAGCTGGATGACAGTGGCCAATTTGGAGAAAGAGCTCCAGGAGATGGAGGCACAGTATGAAAAGGAGTTTGGAGATGGATCAGATGAAGACGAAATGGAGGAACATGAACTCAAAGATGGACAGGATGGTAACTTCCTCGCTCATTAAGAAACTTTAGAAACTAAATGTTTTCATCTGCAGAGGTTGTGCATTCAAGTTGCTTACAGGTGCCACTTGAGAGGCCTAAGTGTAAGACAGGCATGGGAGAGCAGGTGTAAACCTGGAGAACACCTGAGTTCCAGCCGATCGCTGCCAGGACCAGTGTTGCCAGGGTTTTTGTGTTTGTTTTTTAACTTAAGCTGGAAATCTGGATTTTTTTTCTGATGTGGCAGATAATTAAAATGAAAAACAGAATTGTATGGGCCAAGCAAAGGTAGTCTGTTAAGGTAGTCCAATTCCAGTAATGATTAACAAACTTTCCTGAACATGTTTTAAACAGTTTGTGCTCTGGCTGCATAAATATATTGACAAGTGGGCATATTGATAGATGGAACTAAATGGTTATTTAAAATGCATTTCAGCAGTAGGTCAAGTTTTAATGGTAACTGTAGAAAAGCTGATAGTGTGCTGATCTGTGTGGTGTATATAAATTCTGCCTCTCGTTTCTGACTCTAGAGGGGCTGATCTTGGTGTGCTCGAATGGGTCTTTTCTCTAATTCTGGCATAAGAGCAGGCATGTGACTGTAAAACGCAAGGACTAGGTGGTGTTGAGGATAGTCTCTGTTTTCCTCATGGTCTCTAGCTATTCCATGAGAAGTAAAACTGGATAATCTAAGCACATTTAAATCAGTTTTACCTTATCCAAAAATGTGGTTTTTCCAAATAGCCCAAATGAAATGATACTTATTTATTCAAAATGATTAGAAAATGAAATGTTTTTTTAATGAATTAGAAATAGTATTGTAAAGTGCTTTGAAAATTGTAAAGCACTTTATAAATGTGAGGTGGCAAAAGTAGGTAGAGTTTTATAATTTATAAAGTGCTTCCACACATAAGATCTCATTTGATCCTCACACAATACCCGTAAATGTAGATTTTGCTCATAGAATTATCTCCATTTTACTGATGATGAAACTGAGACTCTTAAAGGCTATGGCATATACTTGAGAACATACAGCCATTTGTAGATCCAGATTTTTATTTAAAATACAGTATTTCTTATTAACTATTTGATTAATCAAAGGTAATTTTATGTATGCAATATATTGAAAGTACACAGATAATTGGAAAATAGCATATACTAAACATTAATACTAGATAGGTTATGTTTTGATCATTTATTATTTCAATGAGAATGTCCTTCAGAAGCATATTAACATCACTAATAATAAACCAAAATGTAAAATATGGAAGAGATACTTTGAGACTTTGGCTGATCCCAAAATAATTCCCAGATGGCAGTCAGTTTACTTGTTCATTTCTTATAAGTAGAAAATTTCTTTTTATAGGTGTGTACAGAAACTTTCCATTGAGCTTTTTAGTTGCTTGATAGTAATTATTTCATTGTAATAAAGTGTCAGGCTTATAAAAAATAAGTCTGTGAAGACAGTGTAAACTTTATATATAATATGCTGTTTTATGAACTAATAATGATAGAATGTCTAAGTTTAGGCATTGAGACTAGATTACAGTTATAAATGTGTTTGTAGTAAATCTTGCCCAACCTGTAAATGAAAAAACCTTTGTTAAAAAACTGCTTTGTGGTAGAACTATGAAAGTGACATTTGATTTTCAGAACTTAGCTCATACCCAGACCTTGGAGACTCTGTGGAATCTCCTCAGTAGACTTATGAAAAGAACTGGGAGTATAAACTCATTTATTTGGACCCTTTCCATTATAATTCAGTGCTACTTTTGAAAGGTTGACTCAAATTCTGGTAGCAGAATTTGTTTTTTGTAAGGAAATACAAACATTTTAGTTTCTCATTTGTGTGGGGCATCAGATCATTATTAAAGAGGTATAATTTGTTATCATGTTTAGATTTGTGTTCTGTTCAAACAGGAATCTGACAACCGGCTTCCCTCTCATAGGTAAAGACAGTGATGAGATGGAGGACGCTGAGCGTTATGATGGCCTTTACTGCCCAGCATGTGACAAATCTTTCAAGACAGAAAAGGCGTAAGTTTAGTATCTTTGAACTAACCATTCCTTTTGAGATGAAATGTAACACTTTGAAGATCCTAAAAAGAAATACTTGTAGCAGTTGATGACTAGCCCTCACAGGTCATCGTGGAGGAATTTCTATCCAGTGGGGGAGGAAGAAGGATTTATGCCTGCAAATATGCCTGTGTACTGATTCTCACTCATGTCAATATTCCAATGTAATTGCTGCTTTTTAAACATGTACACTGTCTCCAGAAAGAAAGGTTGCTTGTTTTGGCAAAGAAGGCAGAGTCACACAGGCAAAGAGGCTAGACCAAAGCCAGTCATCTTTCTCTGGAGTTGGTGGCAAACTCACTTCTAGGCATCACACTCCAATGCAGCCATTGCTGCCGCCTGAGAACTTTGTGTCCTGCATAAAGCATATTTGCTGCAGTGGGAAGACTGTATCTTATGGGAACAATGGTGAAGAGACGTATGAAAAGAGATATTATTGTAGAGAGGGGGAAAAATATGAAAGAAAATGAGAGTAGAATCAGTCAGGGAACAGGAAATGATACACATGCAGGAAAGACAGAGACCAGAGGATGAAGATGGAGATGTGGGAGTCGTAAATGGCATTCCTGCATAGCCCTCAAGGGAATAGTGGAGCAAGAGAAGTGGCGAGAAACAGGAAGGTTAGAAAAACCAGGAAAATGAAAGCAACGCTGAAGGATATGTAAAAGTTTATTTTTTATTTGGAAATAATGTCAAACTTAGAAGTTGCAAGAATAGAATATAAGCACCCATTCCTCTGTTGCTAACATTTTTCCCCCATTGCATGCACTCATTCTCTATATACACACACAGGTTTTTCCTGAACAATTTGAGAGTAAGTTATATGCATAATGCTCCTTTACCCTTAAATACTTCAGTATACATTCCTTAAGAGTAAAGATACTCTCTTACATAATTGCAGTACAGCTATCAACCTCAGCAGGTTTATAACATTGATACGGTACTTTGACCTCATTTACTGCCCGTCTTCAGCCTCTGTCACTTGATCCTTCATTAATGTCCTGTATAGCCTCTTTTCCACTTCAAAACAGTCTAGGATCATGTATTGCATTTATTTATTTAGTCTCGTTTAATCTGGATCAGTACCCTTGTCTATGCCACTGATATTCCAGAATACTGGCCCTTTAAAATATCTTTTTAATAGAGTATTTTTCAGGTTGATTTATTAGAGTTAAGTTTCTCATCCCCAGATGGAATACTGCACAAGTACGTTGTTTGCTTGCAGCGTTTCATATCTGGAGGCACATAATGTCTATCTGCCCTTCATTGGCAGTAGTAATTTTCCAATCAAGACATTCTCCAGTTTTCTCACTGTAGAATTACTATTTTTTCCCTTGTAACAAATGTCTTATAGTATGTTTAATCTGTAGGGAGACACCTTAAAACTATGCAGATAGCTTGCTCCTCATCACTTCTTCTTAGCTTTAGCATCCATTGATGATTTCAGCGTGTACCAGTCTTGACTCGAATGTCCCCAAGTGAGGCTTTTCTGATGCCAGTGCTCCTTCTGCAGTGCTAGTCATCATGTGCTTCTGCTGGAAACAAGAGCCGTCTTTCCCCCCACTTATCTGTCTGTTGTCAGTGTGAATTTTTGAATATTTTTCAGTGCTTTATAATTCATTATTGCTTTCTTCATGCTCAGATTTTTCCAGATGTGGTTAGTAAGAGTTCCTTCAAGCTGGCTGCAGTGTCCTTTTGACATGTTCCAGTCAGTTTTTTTGAGCACTAACTTTCTGTCACAAGATGTTCTAATTTCTACAAGGAACCTTGGTCTGAAGGAGAATTTTAGTAGAAGGAAGAGTAGAAACCCAAACTAGAAAACCAAACTCTGAACAGATGAGGTAAAATTGATCATGACCAAGTTTCCTACTTTCTGGCTCAGAGTTTGAGACACAGGGATACGGATGTGTCTGAGCTCACATTTGAGTGATGGGAATGAGAAGGGAGACCCCTCTTGAGAAGGTGAAACACAGCTGTTGAGAAAATTCAAAAGGAGGTAAACCACTCTTGTACTTAAAGCCCTCACATCATAGTTTTTCAAATTTACGAGGTTTTCCTTTTCTAAAGTTAGAATGTCTTGTGACTTCGCTGAGATCCCTCAAAGGCCACAGCACAGCCTGGACCATATAAGCATTGGCAAGTGCTTAGTAATTAAAAGAAACAGCGGAGAAGACTTGAATTTTAATTGGAAAATAAAAATAATAATTTGACCAAAAAAACAGAAGAAAATACGTAGATAAAAAGAGGGGAGAACGCTGGGTACAGGAAGTAAGAATGTAGTTGTGGGCTTCCAGTGTTCTTCATGCCTAAGAAAACCAGACAGAGTTCCGTTTCTCTTTATGGTATCACTAACATTTTGCTTAATGGGAAAAAAGTAAATTTTAGCTTGGTTGCTCTTACCCAGCAAGGTTTTTGGGCACATGTAAATTAATCGTGTTGTAGTTTACTCACATCAGATTGTTCTTTCAGCATGAGGAATCATGAAAAATCAAAGAAGCATCGGGAAATGGTTACCTTGTTAAAACAGCAGTTAGAAGAAGAGGAAGAAAATTTTTCAGGAACTCAAACTGATGAAAATCCACTGAATGCTAATTCTGAGGAAGAAGTAGAAGATGCTCCAAAACAAAAGTACTTCTAAAAATTTTACTAGACTACTTATCACATTTAGAGAGTGCATTAAAATGCTGTTTTATCTGAAAGACGTAATTCTGTTACGCTAATATTTTCTGCATTTCTTCTAGTTAAGGGAACTTACAGTATTGAAGTAATATATCTTTACAGAATATATTATGACTACATTAAAAGCAGGTTTATACTTAGGTAACTGATATACTAATTACTATCAGTTAACCACTTAAAACTTTCTAAAATGATAATGTGAATATTTTTGTTTCTTTTTTACTTTATGACATTAAATATTTTTAGTATTCTCCTTTGCTCTGCATTTTGGTATTTTTCCTTCTCACTTAATAAGTCTTCACAAAGTATTTGACATTTTGATTTATCTTTGTTCTTAGGCTTTCCAAAAAACAGAAGAAAAAGAAACAGAAGCCAGCACAGGTATGTTGAAAAGCTTTGTTAACACTGAATGTCAAATATTAAGTTGGAGTACTTTTGTTTACTCAGTTATAATATGTGTCAAGGAGAGGGAGTTGCACTCTATTATGTTGCTTGTAAAATGGATTGAAAAGTGTTGAAAAATGTTTATTTTCTCAGCATTTTCTCTGTTCTCTGTGTATACCTATTTTAATCACTATTGGTGTATTTTAAAATTTTGCATGTGGATTTCCATAACAGCTAGCTAGCTGGCTGAGTGACTGTATTTAAAAAAAAATATGGACACATGTGATGTGTCTTTAAGTAAAGACAATTCAAATCAGAAAAATATGAAAATTTGGGGATTGGTCACTGTATATTTAAGTTTATTCTGCCATCAGCATAAATGAAATTTTGCAAAAGGAATATTTGGTTAGAAATTTGTAATGACTGTGATTCTTGAAAAAATGTTTGTATTACTCAGAAATGTAAGTAGTTTAAATATGTCACACTTGGGGTCTAAATCCAATCTATCTTCAGTTTTACTTTTCAATATTAAGGGTATTAAGTTGTATGTATATGTAACAATCCTGTGGATATTTTTAAACCTACAAAAAACAAAATGAGATTGTCCATTTTATTAAGGATATTTGATAGTTCTAAAGGGAATGGAATTGATTTCTGTGTGTGCCATTTTAATATGATCTAATTATATTAGCTATACTAGGTATTAAATGTTACATAGTTCTTTTGAAAAACTGAAAATGTTTAAAATATAAGGTAACACTAATACTTTTTTTATAAAACTTTAGATTTGGCTTAGTTGACTATTTTATCTGTTTCGTATTCCAAAAAAGTACATGACACCTAAGTTAATCACTGTTAAAATTATGACGTTAAAAAGTTGTGTGTTAGTAGTGTGTACATTGTGAAGGCCTATGTGAATCAGTGACACCCCAGTAGCAATGAGCATACCTAATGCACACATCTTGGTTTCTAAATCCCCTTCCTAAAGGACTCAGGGCTTGGTACTTAGACAAAGAGTTGATTTCAGGGCTGGGTCAAGAAAAGTACAAGGTACCTGCATCATCTTAGACTAGAAACTAAGGAGCTATTTAAAATGGTTGGGAATACATCAGAAGTACCCAGTGGTCCCCTTAAAGGCCTTCTAAATTTGGTAAAATTTGAGTTATCAAAAGGAATAATAGTAATAGGTTTTTACACATTGATTTTGTTAAAAAAAAATTGTGTGTCTGTATTAAGCCCAAAAAAGTGTTGGGAGAGAGAGGAGGTGAATGGGGAAGCTCGATTACAGAGGAATATGAATTAGGACAAATGTAAATGGTAGGAGCACTAGAGGTAGAAATATCACTGTTCTTCATCCATCAATGTAATAAATGTTCACACAAGAATCACCAAATCCATTGGGTAAATGATTAGGGAATAGGGTATTTATACAAATCTCAAAGTAATGGTCTGCAAATTACTTATTAGTTAAAAAAGGAAAAAAATATTTTATTTGTCAATAGCACCTTAACCAAATGGTCAGACTTTAATCACTGAAAAATGGACGAACTAATGTTTTGCCTCCTAATGTAATACACTGAGAAGGACACAGAATTATCTTTATAATATTCTTGTTAGAAATGTGTACCCTGAATCAAATCATGAGGGAGCATTCGGAGAAAGCCATATTAACTATGGGACATTCTACAAAACAGTGATCAAATTGTTAACACCATAAAAAAAAAGAGAAAAAACTAGTACTGTTCTAGAATAAAGGAGATTAAAGAGATATAACTAAATGTAATATATGATCCTTGATTGTACCCCCTTTCAGCGTTTACAAAAAGACATTATTGGAATGTGAATATGGACTGTGTGACAGATAACACCAGTGTTAAAGTCCTGAGTATTAAGAAGGTATTGTGGATATGTAGGAGAATGTTTTTGTTCTTAGGAGATGACATAGTGATGTGTCCTGAGGTCTGCCTATAGTTTAAATCCGTAGTTCAGCAGTTCACCCAGGGAAAGTGTGTGTGCAAAGAGAGAAACTATGGGAGGAAGCAAATGTGGCAAAATGTTACCCAAAATAAAAACAAGAATTGCACTTAGTGAAGATACATTTGCCAGGCATCTTTCTTTTGTAATGCCAGGTTGTTGTTTCTTTCTCCTGAGTATGAAAATAACATGTGCTTCTTGCAGTTTGAAAAGTACAGAAAGCTATAAATAATTACTCCTAGTTTTGCTTACAGATACTACTTAACATTGAATTAAATTGTAATTAGGCATTATAAGTTTTTCTCTTCAGTTTTTGCTAATGTGTTGTAACCATTCCAGCTAATATGTTGAATCAGTATCTTTGGAAACATGATTTTTAAGAGCTTCATAATTTTCCTTCATATATTGAACCATTCACTTACTGGGCATTTGGATTATTTCTGGCTTTTCCCTAACTTAATTTTTCTCTGATGAGCATTATGTTCTTAAATTATTTGCTTTTCTTTTTTATTTTCTGAAAGTATACTACCAGAGTGCTTAGGACATCATTGTTATAACTATTTGGCAACATAAGTCAGTATAATTACAGTATTTATTTTGTATTGCATACATGTTCATTACCTAGAATTATGATGCTAATTTCCATGAAAATGGAACTGGAGAAGGAGTAAAGGTTGAATCAGAAGTTACCAATTTAAATCAAGACAGTGCCAAAGAATTAGAAGATAGTCCCCAGGAAAATGTCAGTGTCACAGAGTTTGTTGGACTTTGTGGTGACCCAAAAAATGAAGCGAAAAGGTAAGTCAAAGCTGCATGTTGTTTTCTAATTACTTAATATTGATAGTAAGGGTATCTTTTCATATGTTAAGTAGAATTTCCTCCCGCATGACTGATGAAGTAATGTGGGGATATCGGTGATTTACACGTTTATCCAGACATGTACATGTGTATACAGATGAAACATGTCGGAAAGAGAACACTCAAGGAATGAGGCTCACATACATTTCAGCAACATGGCCAAAAAGTCAGAAGCGCCTTTGATTCAGTGCTGTTTCTTCCTCTGAGGCTCTTACTTTGTCCTGGATCAGTAATCTTTTTAAAAAATTTTATGAATGTTTATATACCTCTTCTATTGTATCATCGATCTAAGCTCAGTATCTTTTTTTTTTATTGCACCTACAATAAAATGCATAAATCTGAGGGTTCAATTTGATGGATTTTGACATGTAACCATTGCCCAGATCAAGATACCAACCAATCTTCACTGATTTTTTTTGGGTCCCTCAGTGAGAACAGGACGTGCCCCATTTGCCTGCAGCATCGCTCACCAAATCTCCATGCTTGTGACTGTTGCCCTGTGTTCAGCCCCACAGTACAGCCTGTCAGGAGGTCATGTCCACATTCTCCTCTGTTCCTCTGGAGCAGAGAATAATTTACTCCTTGAGAAAGGATCTGAACAATAAACAGCCTCAGACTCCTGTCATAGGACCATGAAAAAATTCAAATGACAGGGTAAAGTGGGAACCTGAGTTGAAAATGCGTAGCACTGGGGCAATAGTGAAGGGGCAGGGGAATGTACTTGGGAGTTTAAGGAGTTTTGGGAGCACACGGACAGGATGGAGGCCCAGAGTTGGGTGGCAGCTATGGAAATGGAAAACAGGGAGCTGCACCAACTGGTAATGTGGAAGCTTTGAAGAACTTTGGAGAATGGAAACCTGGAAGGGGAGGTCACACACTATCTGATGCTAGGTGTTTGTTCCTATTTTATAAATAAGGAAACTGAGTCCCAGATTAAGTGACTTGCCTAAGAACAAAAACCAGGCAGTAGAAAAAGCTGTCATTTAATCCCTGTCTGCTGACTCCTTGAAGGCACCCCAGTCACCTAGTTCCGTGGGGCCTACGTGTCCTGTAAAGGTCCCTTGGGGGCTCTTTGGAGGGTATTCAGAGTGGGCTAAAAGGCAGGGCTCCAGGCTCCTGGCCACCTGTCTCATCTAAAGCTCCAGTGGTTTCATTTGTTTTCCATATTGCCTCTACATGAGAATTTATCTCAGGAGGAAATTCTCATTGTTAAAAGTCAGACTTTGGCACTACTGATAAAGTTTGGCTTCCTCATTTTTACTGATGCGAGAAAAGGATTCAGAGAACTCAGGTGAGCTCATCACAGCTGAGGAGTGGCAGGGCCGGTGGAGACGTCCGTGCCTTGCCGTGGGCCCTTCTCCGGCTGCTCCGCAGTGTGGCTACCTCGTGAGAAGTTCCTCATTAAAAAACGTTTGTGTATCGAGAGTACTTGTAAAAAATAAAGGTCTTAGATAATTACTTTTAGAGATGTAGCTGCTGTCTTTCATAATATTATAAATTGTTCTCCAGGAATATCATTCTAAATTTTCTTGGATATGTTTGTGGCATACTGTGATGATTTTTGTAAATTAGTAAATGTCAATCTGTTGCCTTTATGCTCTGTGTCTTCATCTTGATGCTTTCAAAGCTGACTAAATACTGCATAATGTTGTATTAACTCCTAATCAGCATCTTTTAAATACCTAGGCCATTTAACTTATTATAGACTCTTGGTTTCTGCCTTAAGAATAGTATGCTCATGAAGGGGCTGGCAGCATTTTCCTCTACTCATTATAATCCAGCCCATCTGTTCTGTAAATACAGTTGCTTTCTGATTTTAGCCTAAGAATTTGGGAAAATATTAAATGATCAAGGAAAATGAAGATTCATAGAAGATTGAGTAGAGGAATATTCAGGAGTTAAATTTGAATAGGAGCCGTTGAATATACTGGCTGGCAGAGGTTAAAGGGTAACCCACCAGATCAGCAGAAAGGAGATAATCATTTAATAAAAGAAAATTCTTCACATTAAACACATTTAATTTTATAAAAAAATGCATGACAGTGTTTTTATTTTTCTCATTTCACTGAACCTTTGAAGGTTCAGAAGGTTGTGTTTTGGGGGAACCCATTTAATGTGAGTACCACTGGTTGCTGTGAAGATGATTTGCTTCCATAAATGAGTATTAAGTGCTTTACTTTTTTACAGAAACACACCGGACAAAAATTTAGAAATATCTTAGGGGTCTTGTTTTAACTTATGTTTCAACAGTTTTAAGTAAATTCTTTTAAATTTTTTTGTCAAATTTGTTATATACTATGATCCATAAAGTTGCTCTTTAAAGCTGTTCATTTAAGATAGAAAAATTAAGTAGCTCGTCCATTAAAATTAATTAATTAGTCTTTAAGTGCAAGACTCTTCTGAGTCATCCTGGGAGCGAGATGATAGTTAAAAGGGGTATATTATTATTATTAGATTATACTGAATTCTTTCATTTATTTTCCAGTGTTCCTAAACCCAAAGGAAAGAAAGCCAAAGATACGAAAAAATCTGTCAGAGTACCTGCTGAACCACAGACAGTGGTAGGTCAAAATTATATTAACGTCTCTTCCTTGGACCTTGTTGTTTAAGCAGTGTAATCTAAATTTTTTATTCTGAAGATATGTGTGTTTGGGGAGCCCTTCTTTTCCTACTGTGTAACTGTGGATCAGCAGTTTTCCTGGATGATCATAGAATTTATATATGTGCTACTGTTACTTTTTTTTCTTTAAAGTAAAAAGAAGCCCATTAGAAATAGCAGACTGTACCAGAATAGCTGCTGTGCTGTTTTCTAGTACTTTGAAATCTAAAGCTTTGGTCTAGTCCGTGTGGTGCATGCTAGTGAAGACCTCAGGTTGATTGTGTTGGTTAAAGGGGCTTCAAAGAAAAGCTGCCTCTGTTGAGCCTGTCTTGGTAGCTCTTCAGTTTGTTACAAGATCTTCATTTTGCAATTGTTTGATATTTAATTTTGACGTGAAAACAAAATACTGCTCTCAGATAATAACACTTGCTTTTATTTATCTTTTCTCAGAGTGATGTTCTTATTAGCTGTACAACCTGCCATAGTGAATTTCCATCCCGGAATAAACTTTTTGACCATCTAAAGGCCACAGGTCATGCGAGAGCACCTTCATCATCTTCTTTAAACAGTGTAGCAAATAGTCGAAGCAAGAAAGAGAAACGTAAAAACAGATAGAAATTCTGCCAACACATTTTCTTTCTGATTGTCTCTAGATTTTGAAACCAAAAACTGAACTGAAGTCATCTAGAGTTAAAATTTCAGTGATCTGCAATTTGTTGCATTGTGGAAGATTATTTTTTATCTTTTAAAAACATTCTTTTTGTTTAATATATATTTTTTAAACATTTCATTAGTGATTGAATTCTACTTTTGCCATACAAATTGACTTGAATATCTCAAAGCAGGTAAATATTGTAAAGTATGCTTTCTTGATTTCTGTTGGCTCATGTGGACACAAATGTACAGGGAGAATTAAATTATTTTAACACTTACAAATGCCCCTTTCTGTTTCATTTTGTGAATTTCGCATTACCTAATTTATATGATATACTTCATGATCCATCAAAGACTCAGATCATTTTAAAATTGTCCTAAATTTTTTTCCACCTGATAACATGACTCCACAGCCCTGATTTTAAAATTATTTCTAAATAGCTGATTGATTACTGTACTTCTCTTCCTTTGAGGACAATGATAGGTAGAAACTAATTGAACATACACAGTTATATTTCAAGAGTAGTATCTCTTCAAGGTATAATTGTTTATTGAAGAGATTTTTATTTATAATTATCAACAAGATACACATTTTGGTTTCTTTTCACTCTGATTTGAATTCTGGAGATGGAAGCAAATTATTTGGTGCTTCCTCCTTAGGCACAGTGACAGCTGTGAACCATGCTGAATTAAGGCAGCAGATGGTTCAGAATATTTACTGACTCTAACAAGGGATATCCTGCCTTGGGTTTTGTTCCTTCACTGTTTTCAGAAGGTTTGGGTTTTTTTTTCCATCATTCAGTGGAGGAAAAACATTTTTTAATGGAAGATTTTTGAATAGGGATGATATTTGTGCTATCTATCTGTAGCAAGGATGAATATAGAATCAACAGAAAGAGGGAGAATCATTATAAGTGAGTGTGGTCAAGTATATGGATCAATGAGGAGTCTGTGTTTTGGTTGAATTAAATAGGCAGTTCTTTTTAATGTTTCCATGATTTAAAGACCTAGAGTAGAATTTGACATGTCAGGTTTACAGTTGGAACCCTTCATTGAAATAGGCTTTCTTTTGATTGGTCTAAAAGTAACTTTGAACTCACTATTTGAAATATATACTTTCTGTTTCTTACATCTTTGAATATTCAAATGAAGGAATCTTAGTTATGTTTAAGCTCTAAAACAGAAAAGTCCTGGATGGCAATATCTTTTCTGAAGGCCTCATGGATAGGTTGATGATGTGGACCATTCTGTGTGATTGACTTGAAAACATGCATTTGTACTTTAATTTTTCTCTTTTTTATTTAGAGATACGTGTATTTCTTTACTTCCCTATATCTAACTTACATTAATAATTCCTCATAATGCTTTTTTCTTCCCTTTCTTAGTCCCTTCAAGGGAAATACAGCCAGTTTTCTATCTTTGGTCTTAACCCCCAAGCTTCATGTGAACACTCTACCTTGCTCTGATTTGAACTAGATGAATTGGCCATAATCATGAATAGGAATACTAATGAACAGAGGGCATATTAGTCACATGTTAGTGTACTGTAAAAAAATACAAAGTCATGTTGAATGGCAGATTTGCTGCAAATGTTCTCAGACCTTCCTTACCTCCCCTTGTACCAACCATGTAGGTATTTAATTCATTTCTGCTTTATGTGAGGATTGATTGGGGTTACTTGTCACTGTTATCTGATTAACAAAAATCAACCATAATTTTTAAGGGATCTTCACCTGTGTGATTAGACGTTCACTCTCACTTCCGATCCTATGTATAAGATGCTGATAAACCATTTAACTTTTGAACTTCATTTTCCTTATCTTCACAGATTTCTTAGAAAAATATTATCGCCACTTATATGAAATTAGTATGAAGGACAAATAAAATTATATAAAAGCAGTTTTTTAAATACAAAAATTTTATGCAAAATGTTGAATTTAAATGGACTAAATCTTTTTCAGTTAAAATATTTGCAGACAGAAGTATATATGTTGAATTAAATATGTGTTGTTTTATAGGAATTTCCTTCTCTACTTCTGAAGATGAAAATAGAAACATATATTATGCCAAGAGTAAAATACTACTTTTGGTAAATCACGATGTTTGATTTCATTTGTCTGAGATAAAACAATATTCTAAAATGTATGAGCACATATTTTACGTTGATCTCATTAAAGGGCAGTGCTAACTACCATCTTGATAGAGATTAGGTCCAGTTATGGAAGATGCATAGAATGAGAGTTCTGGAAAGAGTGGCTAGGGGAAATCTCCTTTTCACTCCATAATTTAGTCAGTGGTGCCAAAGCTGGGGTTCTCTGTAAAGCCCCATGAGACTTCCTGTTTCAAAATAAGAGCTGTATCCTTAGCAAAAGCGCACTTTAGGAAAATAGGACTGTATCAAAATGAAACTTCTATAGAACAATAGTCACCCTAAGTAAAGAGACAAGCCTCAGACTGGGAAAAAATGTTTGCAAGCCGTATTGGTGACAAAGTAGTAGTATCCAAAACACATTAAAAAACAAATGAACCTCCTACAAATCAGTGAGCAAATGACAGCCATGCATTTAAACAGTAGTTCTGAGACTTTCTGTTCTTAAGACTCATTTATACGCTGAAAAATTGAAACCCTCAAAGAGTTTTTGTGTGTGTAGATTATATCCATTAACATTTACTTTGTTAGAAATTAGAGGAATTTTTTAAGTGCTAAGTTATAAAAATAATATATGTTAAATACCAACTATGGGAAATAAATTTTTCAAAATAAGTTTAATGGTATGAGGCAATTTACATTTTTGAACATCCTTTAATGTCTCCCTTAATAGAAGACAGTGGGTTCTCCTATCTGCTTCTGCAGTGTTTCTCTCTGTTTTGGTTAAAGTATATGAAGAAAATGGAGCCTCACACATACAGAAAATGGGAAAAAGAAGGAAATTTTGGGCCCCATGGGGCCCCCAGAGTTCTCAGATCACATTTTAGAACTACTGCACTAGAAAAATGGATAAAATATGTGAACAAAAAGATGGAATAGTTAAACAATATGAAAAGATGATCATTGTCGCTGATAATCAGGGAAATAGCACTTAATTGTTTCATGTTTTCAGTTTGGCAAAAGGCGAAAAGTTACACAAGGTCAATTGTTGATAAGGATGGAGATGAGAACATATTCATTTCTTCTGGAGTAAAATTCACTCAATTTGACAATGTCTGTGAAAGTTGAGTCTGTGTGTGCCCTTGGTCCAATAAGGCTAGGTATGACCTAGCTCTCACTCTCGGTGTTCATGGAGCCACAGCCTGGGTTCCTCCTGGGAATTCTCAGGAAGGCGGTTCTTGGGGCCCGCACTGGATCTGCTAAATGGGCATCTGTGGTTAGCAAGAATTTTTGGGTGACCCATTTGCTCCTTAAAGCTTGAGAAACAGTGCTCTTAAGAATCCGTGTGCATGTGTACAAGGAGACTTAATGAATGTTTGCAGCTGAACTGGTTTCATCTAGGAAAAGTTGTAAATACCTTAAATGTCAGTGAAAAAGAAGTGCATGAATTGTGGCCTATGCATAAATAAGGTGGCAAACAAGCAGTGAAAATGAGTAACCTGATCTGTAATGTTAGTGGATAGCCCTTGAAAAAGATACTGAATGTAAAGAAGCTGCTGAAGATGAAATGTATGCCATTTATACATTTTTTAAAATACTATTTTTACTTACAGAGAGAATATAGAAACCTCAATGGCAAGCACATCATGTAGGAAAGTACTTGCCTCTGGAAAGGGAAGGAGAGGAATGAAATTGGGGTGTGGCAACAAAAGGGACCCTATCTGAGTCTGTTTTTTTTTAAAGACCTGAAGGAAAATACTAGCATTTATTAATTCTAGATGGTGGGTAATGTTACTCTGGTTTTCGTGAAATACTTGAAACATCCAGAAAAATAAAAATTAGTGCTCTACCTGCTGGCAGAAAAGACCCGTACCAGAAAGGGGAGATACAGTGTTTTATTCCGGGCATATTCCATAGCTGGAATTGTGTCAGAGGCTATTACCTGTCTCAGTATTCATCATCCCCTTTTTCCCTCGAATTCTGATTTTTAGTTGTGCACAGCCATCTAGGATCTGAAGATTGCTTTCCCAGCCTCCCTTGCAACTAGAGGGCCAGTAATTTGAGCGACTTTTGGGATGTTTGTTCCTTCTACCAGCTTCAGTGAAGAGTTTATGGCTGGAGCTCTAGCCCCTCCAACAATCCTCAACAAAAAAAGCACAGGAGTTTCATTGCTGACACCTCAGAGGTAGGACCCTACCAGCCCCAGACCACGTACCTCTGCACTTGAGAGAAATAAAACATCGCTGAATCCTCTTGTTTTGTGCTTTCTGTCACATACAACTCAAGTCCTGATTGAGTCACATTTTAGCATACACAGTTACCTAAATGAGAAGTATAGCTTAAACAGTGACAAGAATATGGGCCCTTAACTCTTAAGAGATTTTAGATCAAATTCCAGTGCTAGCATAAATTCTCTGATTCTGAGCAAGTCATTTAAACTCTTTAAGCCTTTTTTTTTTTTTTTTTTGAGAGGTGAGACCAACCATGTGGTATTGTAAGGATTAAAGAATTGTAAAGGCTTTTAAGTGTGAGCACTATGCCTGGTACATAATAGGCATTCAATAACTGTTAGCTTTTACTTTCAATAATCTCTACTTAAAAATTCTTGCTTTATTTAACTGTTCATCAGTTTCTCAGTCTGAACAATGAAGTGGTAAATTGGAAAGAATCTATGATTGTATTGATACTATAGCATACATACTTTTTAAAAAGGTACTATTACAAATGCTGGCCCAAATGGAACACAGTTTTTAGATGCTGTGTTGGTATGTGTATGGTATTTCAGTGTGGTGTGTGATAGTGATGGAAACTGTCTTGAAGATCAGCGATCCTAATTATGTTAGAAGGCTCAGTGCATTTCTGCAGATAATTACTTTGCCATTAAAACCAGTCAGGGCCCCAGCATCATTGATGTCCTTTCAGCTATGAAGTGCCTTCTGAAAATAGAAAAGGCTCAAATTAGTTTTTGCACTACAAATCATTTGAAAGTCACTTGGAGAAGGTTTCTACAATTTCTAAAATGAAAAGGCCATAGTATCTCTTAGCATTTAGATTAAATGGTATGTAATTTATCTCTTCAGGTACTTATTTTCAAATTTAATCAAGAACTCATACCTTTGTGAGTCCAAATTTAGTAAAAGCTCGTAGTCTTGGCATATTCTGGAGCAGACTTTCCTCTGGTTCATCCAA